CGGAGGGGGGGGGCGGGGCCTGCCCCGGGGGCCGAGGCCCGCCCCCCCCCAGCCTCCTCTTTTATGCAGAAGGAGCGGGTGCCGCCGGCGTGGCCGCCCCGCTCCTGACCCACGCTGTGATTGCTGCCAAAAGACTCACCTTTCCCTGAGGATTCACTGCAGCCCGGTTCCTCCAAGCCGAGGGAGAGACTCCCAGCGTGCCTGAGTGTGCGTGAGTGTGTGCATGCGTGCGTGGGTGTGTGCTGGCCGGCAGGACTGTGTGAGGCAATGGGCAGAATAAAGGCAATAAGAATTTTACTGGAGTTTCCTTTGCTCGATCGCGCTCTCCCTGCAGTGGGCCCGGCTGCCTGCAGCTTTGCTGCCTGCCGGGATCCTCCTCCTCCTCCCAGCCGGCCGCAGGCTGCTCTGTGCCCCTCTCTGCTCCCCAATTCTCTTGCTGTCACGTATTCGGATGGTCCCACAGGGTCCCCCTCGGCACCGGTGCTGCCGCAGGGTTGGGGCAGGCAGTGATGCTGTACCCACCCTGCAGTGCCTGGGGACCCGGTGTGCTCCCCTGTGGGGTGCGTAGGGTGGAGGTTGCGAGTCCTAGGGCAGAGCCAGCCGTGAAACTCCGTCTAATGCACTCAGAGATGCTCATCATTTATTTTCCCCCATCCCTCCCTCAAGTCAAGCTGGAACTGTGGGAACCAAACCCGGTGTGTGAAAACCGAGCAGGGAGCAGCCAGGCTCACTGCTCATCCCACCACCAGCAGGTCCCTGCAGCCCCAGGGCTTCTCCACAGACCGCCGGTCCTCCTCTGCTCTCCCCAGGCAGAGTCCAGCCCCGGGCAGGAGTCTTGCAACAGCCACCGGCATCCCTGAATCACCGGCCCCGCTCCTCCTCGCCGCAAAATGGCAGCTGCTGAGCCGGGTGGGAGCATGCCAGTGCAGGCAACAAGGTAACCCCCCCTGGGGGCTGCTGTCCCTGGGAGCGCGGGGCCAGGGGGTCCCCATGCCCTCAGCCCAGGGGGGATTGCTCCCTAGTAGCCGAGTGGGACCCCCAGTTGCTCATGCTGGGGGTTTTCAGGCCCTAACGCTCCCTCGGCTGCAGTACACCTCACTGGCTCGCTTACAGGGATGCTTTGCTGGCAGTGCAGAGGGGCAAGCGGGTGCTCCCCGAAATGAGGGGGTGCACCCCCGTGCTCCCCCTGCACTCGGCCCCGCTCCCCTCCTCCCCGGGCTGGCTGAGCAGGTGCTATTTTTCCCCTTTCCTTGAAACTCGCCTGCCCTTGGGTTTCTCATTAACCCTGTCCTCCTCCCCAGGGAACAGTAAACAAGGCCGGGAGGGCAGCTGGCAGCAGGTCCTGCACCGGGGAACGGCCTCCCCGCGTCCCACCGTCCCTCCTCTGCGGGATGTATCCGGGATGCTGGCTGCCGGGGACACCGCAGCCCCGCTTCACTTCACTGGGGTTTCCCAGCCCTGCCCGCCCCGGCTTGCTCCCCACCCTGGCTGCTCCCCAGCCCCCACCATGGTGGGACCCCAAATGGCAGCGCTGGGCCGACCTCCTCCCTCCCCCAAGTCAGGCAAAGCAACCCAGCGTCAGGAGGCTTTTAAGAGCAGGTGGCCAAATAGATGTCAGAGCCCATTTTGGGCTTGCTAAACCCTCTCAGCCCCCCTGGCTGGAAGCGCTGTGGGGCTCAGGGGCTGCCCCTGCCGCCCTCCCTGCCCCAGCCCCGGTGCTGCGAGGGTCCTGCTGCTGCAAGGTTTGGGGTCCCACCGGCCCCAGTGCATCCCAGGCATCCCCAGCTCAACCCTCCATTCTGGCCTGGCTTTGCTTTGGGGGGGTTCTACTCATTTTAAACGGCAAACCTGCAACAAACCCCTTCTCCCAGCCTTCTCCGTGCTCCCTGTCCCGTGGGGCAGGACACAGCATCCCTGCAGCCAGCCCCGGGTGTCCCCCCAGCTTTGGCCCCCCATGCTGCCCGGTTTGCACCCAGGGCTGCACCCAGCGGCTCTTCACATGCTGTACCTGCCACCTCCCTTTTTATACGAATATGTATAGGGGGAAAACTGTGTTCGATGGTGAAAAAGCAAATGCAACAGCAAAAAACAGCAGCAAGGGAAATTAATGCGAGCGTGCGTTTGTAAAAATATTTTTTAACGGAAAGACTTTTTTTCAATTAAATTATTTAAGGAATTTTATGGAGGTCTGCGGTGCCTGCGTGGTTCTTGGGGGGCTCTGGGTGGTGGGGAGCCCTGTGCTGGTTGGGCACAGGTGTGTTTGGGCACTTGTGTGTGTAAAAGTGGGTCCATGGCAGCAAGCAGGAGACACTTGGCCCCACGTGGGCGCAAGCCCAGCCCAAGCCTCCCCAAAGACGCTCCCCACCACCTCCCAGGGCAGCCGGTGGGCGAGGACCTTTGGGTGCTGGGGAGGGGGGAGCAGGTGATGCTCCCCGAGCCGCCAGCCCTCAGGTGCTGCTGCGGGGACATCCCGGGGCACTGGGCATGGGGACAGCGTGGGGTGGCCCTTGGGGAGCAGGGTGGCCAGGCTGGGGTGGGGGGGAAGGCAAGCCCTGCCTGCACCCTGCCTGCGCTCTGCCTGTGCCCTGTGCTTCCCCCCTCCCAGCCCAGTGCAAAAGAGCCTTTTGTGCTGCTGGGGTTTTTTTTCCCCCTTTTAATTCCTAACCAGGAGATTAAGGGAAGACAAAGGCTACGATTGTTCCCGCTCTGCAGAGAGCTGGAAAGTTCGGGGAGGGGGGACCATCCCTTTCCAGACAGGCCCAGAGGAGGGGGACGCGTGACCCAGGTGGAGGGGCCGGGACGGGGGGGACACCCTGGGAGCGGCAGTGGGGGGTGGGGTGATGGCACACCGGGTGCTAAGGGGGGACCCCGCTGGGGTGGGCCAGGGGCTCAGGGCTCCGGCAGGAGGGTGGGAGGCTCTCCCCGGCAGAGGAGGAGGAGGAAGGCTGGGGATGATGGGTTGGCCGGCTCACTGGCTGTTTGGCGTTTTCCCTGCTAACTCTTGGCTGACATCTCAGCGACTTGGCAGGGAGAGGATCCCGCAGCCCCGTCAGCCGCCTGGGGCCGGCACAGCTGGAAGGGATCACAGCTCGGCATGGCTCAGCATGGCTCGGCACAGCACGGCCACGACCCCGCAGGGCCAGCCAGGGGACGGGGC